TCAGAATTTTCGATTGCCAGAGCGATATGGATTCAAAAATTCAATTTTTACATAGGAACTATCTTCGCCTTGAAGTAGTTGATAGACAAGCCCATAGAGCCTGCCTATGTAGTGCAGTATTTCAATAGTGTTATTTCCATGCTGCTGGCTTGCCAATTCCTGCCTTTAATTCTTCATTGCTGATAGCATCATCATCATCAGAATAAACCTTCTTGGTCCGCTGCTTTTCATCCAAACTGACCCGGCTCCCTTCTTGCAGCTCTTTGAAATACTCTCTTCATCTGTCTATTGCAAATTCCTTTCGCCAAATAGTATTTTCATCATTATCCTTGTTTTTTTTAGAACTTTTGGTGATTCTTTCTTCGTCCCATTAATTCATGTTTCCAATTTTCTGGTTCATTTTCACGATTTTCCCATTTTGAGACCTAGTACTTACAACGACATTCTAAGTAATCTAGAAGAATATTTAGCTTTGTCTCTTTTCATCTTTCTTTGTAAAGAGAGAATGAAGCATTTATTATGAAAATTGTGGAATCAGTTATGATATGTGCCAACCTCATAACAAAATGAAGGAAGTAAAAAAATTATAATAAAAAATAATAGTAAACAAATAATAATATTAATAATCATTGTAAGTTTAGCTAAAGAGTCCGATAACAATTCATTATATAATTTTAAATATTTAATCATGTTTTATTATTCTCTGACTATCCAGCTTTAAGAAAAGGACAATTATAACGGAATCATGCCAAATACTGAATCTCAGTGACCGAGAAACTAACTGGGGTCAAAGTCATCAATCCACCATGTTTGGACGCCATTATGGGACAATGCGTTCACTTTTGCTTGTGGGAACATTTTTTTTTTAATAAGTAGTTACATGGAACACAACGATATGCTGTTTATAGGTAAATGGGGGAGGGAAGAAGGTTCTCGGTAGAGGTGTCTGGCCCACCTTGTAAAAGGAGTAGCTCAGTAATCAGTTTATTACCTATAATATCATATAATTACTAGCTACGGTCATACAAATTGCATCACTCAGTAAACATTTTATTTTTCCGATAATGAGCATAAACAATATTGAAAATAATAAACCAAAATTAATATAATTTATTAAAAAGCAAATAACCTAAGGGGAAAACCGGAAAAATTGTGAAATAAAATAAAAAAACGATAGAAATATATATCGTGCAATAATCAATTACTTTTGATAGAAAAGAAAAACAACAACGTATATTAAGTATGTGGAAATATCATATATTTTGTTCACAATTTCTCTGTTTAGTACTTTGTGGAGCCATTCCTAGCTGTTATTATAGAACAGGGCTCTCCAAGCTGCGTCCCGCGGGCCGGATCCGGCTCCTCCAATCTGGATCGCGAAAGCTTCTTTGATTAGATGATAAAATAAAAAAATAAAAATTAAATTAATGTAAAATTTAGTAAATGGCTCAAACACGAGGTTACTACATAATTGACTGAAGAGCCAATTAAAGAACAATCTTTTTCATCACAATCCAAAGCCCGCGGGACCGCATGAAGGCCTCAATGTGGCCCGTTGCCCGAAAAGTTTGGAGACTTCTGTTATAGAATCAAAAGAAATAGGTCATGAGTGTAAAATATTGAAATAATGGGAAAGAGAGGTGTAAAGTACCTCCCCCCCTCCCGATACATGCTTTTTTTTTAATATTGTACATATCTCCATATTTAAAATACTGTAAGTCTGGAACAAGTTATACAATTTGGTGAATTGGGTCATTTTTATCATATATATATATATATATATATATATATATATATATATATATATATATATATATATATATATATATATTAACGAAATTTTAATCAAGATAAAAAGGTTAACATTACTACATGATTAATCATCAACACAATATCGTATTTATATTTACAATAGATCAAAAATCTAAAAAAAAAAAAGGAGAAAAAAAGTCTGGTCCGTTCCATCACAATTTTTACTTACCTCTCCACTTTCAATAGAAATTATTATTATTTTTTAAAATTTAACTTACGGTTGTAAGAATATTAATTTAATTATAATGAAAAACCAAAGGCAAGGCAATTAATATAAATTATGATTGTTCTGTGTAGTATCTTTGTTCTATTCAGCTGAATGACCTAAAAATTTGCTTTCGATATACTTTCTATGGTAGCTGCATTAAGTTTCCATGAAAACATTTATTAATCATTCAATAATACAAATAAAAACCATTATTAGCTACGAAAAACAAAAGTCATTAGTTTTCCGTCAGTCTTTATTACCTTTCACAACCTAATGTTAAATATTGAATTTTATAAAATCCTTAGCTTTACATCAATATTTTTAATCTCATATTTTTTTTTTAGTTAATGATAATTTTAATATTTCACAGTTTCCATTTTATGTTACTGCCAACAATAGGATACCTTAAATTATTTCAAATAAAAAGAATTAAAGGTAGTTTAAAAGAAGAAAATTTTGAAAATTCGACATTTAAGCCCTGTAATAACTTTACGATTAATACCTAATGGTTATTAAATAATAGTTAATTTTACATTGGCAAGACGAGTTATATGAAAATCGTGGATTTCCGTTGAAAACTCGAATTCAAAAGTTTTTAGGAAGTATGTTAGGATTTTCTACAACTGACTACTGACTTTTTACTTTTTCCGAAAATCACAACAAATGTTATAATACGACTTTAGCTATCTACAAGAAATTTAGCAGGAATTTAGGGCCACATAAACTACACAAAATGACATCAATAGAACCTTCGTAAACAAATGTCAAATGGAGATAAAAATAAAAACCTATAAGGAGTTTTTGTTTATTTATTCCTTATTTAGGCATTAATAATAATTTTAAAAAACATTCATACGGCTTTCCAACGGATATCGTAACATCAAATTTAGGAAAGAATTTATGGAAGAACATCCTGAAGAATTATGAATGATCAGAAGGGTGTCCCACGAAGACAACGCTAGGCTCCACATCTCATTGGTCACTCGCAATAAATTATTGACCTTTTGCCTCACCCTCCCTTTTCACCAGAGCTGGCTCCAAATGACTACCACTTATTCCGGTCTCTGCAGAATATAATAAACAGAATGAAATTCCAAAAGGAAGAGGACATCAAAAACCAACTGGATCAGGTTTTAACCAATAAACTCCAGACATTCTATGAACATGGCATTATGCAATTACTGGAAAAATGGGAAAAGGAGATATTAAATAATGATCAATATATCATCATCATCATAGTCATATTCCTCTTTAGAGCTTGGACCAGGTGGACCTTTCCAGCACAGGCGGATTTACGGGGGGGGGGGGCTTTCGGGATGAACCATTTTACTCCAAAATGGTAAAATGTCATCATGTTTATGTTAAAAAATACTAAAAAATTATGTCTTAAAGTAATATTCCTTGTTTAATTACATTTAATAGGACTTCTAGAATCACTTAAACACCATTTCATATAGGTAGTTAGTATCTTTCTGTTTTTCCATAGTAATTATCGTTATATATATGAAAAAAAAGCTTCCGGGCTGAAGCCCCCCCAAAATTAAATCCTGGATCCGCTAGTGCTTTCCAGTACCAGCTCTGGTCTCCTGTTCCATTCCAAACCTCGCTTATGGAATGCATCTCGCACGCTTTCTTCCCAGGAGATTCTGGGTCTTCCTCTTGGTCTCCTACCATGCACGCGAGTCTCATATGTCTTCCGTGCGACTCTGTTCCGGTCCATACGGAGAAGGCGCCCAAACCATCTCAACTTGTGTTCTTCTATAATGGTTTCGACCGCTTTGGCGTCGAGATTGGCGCGGATTGTAGTGTTGCGAATTCTGTCTCGTCTAGTCTTTTCCTCCATCTCTAGAGCCTGGTTCTGGCTCCTGTGTTTTGAAGTAAGTGTCCAGGACTCGGAGGAATACGTCAGTGTAGGAAGGAATACTGATCTGTAGACCGTCATCTTCGTTTCCTTGGTCATCTATTTTCGGTTCAGAAAGCCTTTCCTAACCGAGCCGAACATTCTTCCTGCAGCTCCTATTCTCTGCCTTACCTCCTCGTCAATATATCCATTTTCGTTGAATGGTCAATATATAGTAGATTAAAATAAATGTTATGTCTATAATACATTGAATATTTCACCCTGAAAAACCGAAAGGACTTATTTGCCAACCAAATACATACCTAAGATACGTATTTTCAGTACGTATTCAGTTTGGTACGACTTTCCGTTTTTGAGCTAGGCGTTTTACACATAGAACTTCGTTCCACATTTTGGCCGACTTCGTTAATTGCACTTAGAGGACTTCAAAACGTAAAATTTCCTTTAAATGCTCAGATTCAATTTTTTTCACGATAGCAAGGCTCTCCCTTTCTACACCTATGGTATGTAGTTAAATCAAAGTAAAAATGAAATAATGAAAACAAATGTTAAATAACTAGGGAGGTTTTATATGCACAATGATGCAATTACTTCTTCAAAGCCTAATCAGTCAATCGCCAACAAGACTGTTGGGAGGGGGGAGGAAATATCAGGGTGAGCATATAATTAGTGGGGAGAAAAATATTATATTTTCTATGGCAGAAATTTAGTAAATTGATTATTTAACTTTTGCATAATTTAAAACAATTTGTTGTGGAAACAAACAAATTAATTAATTTCATTGACCAATCTGAGATCGATATCTCACCAGGTGAGTCGATTTTTAATAATTTTCCTTCCTTATGAATAATGATGTACTTGGGATTATTCACGAAAATTGCAACTAGTAGATATGGCTGAAACTGTGAAGTGATGCAGTTTATCTGATCGATTATTTTTAGTTTATTGACTTTGTAAGTAAGATAAGTTCGCAAGAGGGGTCTATTCGCCTAGAGCAATAACTTTATGCTTTATTAACTACTACTTTAAATGGGTGTTGTAGTAATGCAAAATGTATTACTATTCATTTAAAATAAAAAAATATGATAATAAATGAATTCAATTTGTTACTTGTTGAAGGGAAGACGAAAGAGGCTTGCCGGCCCATACTGCCGTCAGCAGGTGGCCTGGCGTGGGCAGGTCCCTTTGGAGGAATTACAAATTCAACCACCGCGAGCCAGCCCGGGACCACTGGAGCCAAGAGTCGACGCGCAGGGACCGGGCCGCCTTCGGAGCCAGGGAGGAGCTGAAGCAGCGGCCGAGCTTCAGGGACGCCTTCAGCTACACCGAGCCGCGCCGGTCGCGGGAATGGGACGGCGATCCCAGGGGCAGCCCTGGCCCGAGCAGGCCGCAGCCCAAGCCGCAGGGCGACAGGAGGGGGTCCGGCCCCACCAGGCCCAACTCCCTCCAGGAGGCCATACTCACGATAAAACCACTGCGCCAAGTTCGCCCCAAAATACCAGATATGCAAAATAGGTATTAACATATACATCTCTTGAGCAAACTGAAAAAGAAATCCGGATATAGCAAGGGTACAGTCCCAGAAAATGTAAATACAGAGATGTAGATAAGACAATAATTTTGTTGCGAAATACATTATTAATATATTTCAAAAAGAAAAATGTTTTGATATTCATAAAAGGTCGAATATCCTTTTCGTAAGTGAATTTATTAATTAGAGACTAGATAATAATGTTATCTTTTACAAACCACATTTTAAAAACCTAACACCAACAATACCTCTTAGGAAATGACAGAATAATATTAAGTAATTTAAGATTAAATGTCCATCAAATGGTGAACATCTTCACCATAGCAATAATTAATAATGAATAAAATTGCCAAGAGCAATAAAACCCGTGAGTTATTGGATAACAAAGTTTGCCTGATACTATAAAGAACTATGTATGGGCTTCTTCCTGTAGCTGATGTTGAGGTCATTTAAACACCGTAAGATATTTTATCCAAAAGAAATACCTCAAAACTAACGAAAGTTAAGCCCCAACAATTTACTTTTGTGCTGAAATCATTATTACCGGCAGTAAAATTAACAATATATAATTACACATATATATATATATATATATATATATATATATATATATATATATATATTTATATAAATAAAAGTAAAAGAAATACGCGGTTTAAAATTATGAATTGTTGAGTCTGAGTATTATTGGGTAGTAACAAGTTAATACTTGTTAATACTTCCAAAACATTAATAAAAACGTAATTTCAAACAAACAATTCCTTATAATTCATCCTAGTCGATGCACTAAAATCATTAATTATCTATGAATATAAGAACAATATAATAGTAGATCGAAGCTTTGAAGACAAACAAAATACAGTAAAAATAATACTCAAAATGTGAGAAATCTGACAAAAACACTCATTGTATTCCATTTTATACTTTAAGGATTATTTTAACAAATAAATGAATAATTTAATATTTTACGTTCAAAATATTTATGAATCAGCAGTATGAGCTCATTATGATTACAAAATCAATAGATATGTTCCTAAATTAATTTTCGACTTATCCAGTAAATTGTCTTGAACATTTCTTTAAATCATTGTGATACTTGATAAAAGTAAGTCATTAAATTTTCATTTAAATTATGTCACTATCGCTTCACTTATCCGTGATGTAAAAAAATTATAAACATTGTCATATTTTTATTTCAGAAAGTTAATATCAAAAATAATGTCTTAAATATCAAAATAATATTTTATGGAGTCAATTAGAATGGCAAACTGATGAAAAGAAACATTGCACATAGGTTTCATGACACAGATGTTGTGGATATAAATTGACTTTTTTCTAAGTCAAGCAAACCATGATTGTTGAAGTATCAAGCTGGTAACTACTATTATTATCGCTATCATAGATATATTATAGGTGACCAGATGAAATCAAGAAGATTGTTTGTGGGAGCGATCAGACATGACACATAAAGGAAATGACATTTTGTCCTTTGTGAATTGACATTGTGGATGAACTACCAGCAATGAACACTGATAATATTGTTGAGTAAAATTATTATTACAATGTTTTATTATACAATGTTAAGTTGAAAAATATAATAAATGGCGTAACAAATGGATGTATCATAATTCAATCCCAAACTTAAATTATAATGATTCCGTTCAACTTGCCAAATACATTAAGGTAAGAATAATATATAGTTAATTTAAGTTTAATATAAGAAAAAAACATCAAGCTCTATTTTTGTACTGTTCAGAAAAATCGTACTGATAAGTGAGAATGTAAACATTTAGAATAAAATACAAATTACCGATGTTATATACATAATAAATGTGTCAATTCCAACAATTAGAGCTTAAAATAAATTGATTGTATGATAGCTAGATAATCTGACTTACTTTGTTAATAAAGATTTATCCATTTATTTGAATATCACCTGAATTTTACTAAAAATATTTTTTCAATCCTTCATTTATGTAATATTTTACATTATTGGGAGAAAGAATTTTTTTATTCATTTCCGACTATACTGCACTATTTGTAATACTGGAAATGAATGACAAACGTCCCCTGACCCTCAAATATTGTGATATCAATCAAAGATTGGAACCATCTTTTTTTATACAAGTCAGACGATATATTAAAAAAATCTGATAAGCGAAAAACACAACTTTCACTTACCGCTCTACTTTGAATAGAAATTATTTTCTGGCAATGTTGGGATATTATATAATTTTTGAAGTTCATTTTAAATGGAGTTATAGATTAAAGCTTACAAATCATTAAAACCATCAAAATTACAAAATTATATTTATTATATCAACCGTGGACAATAAAAATCTAGTTTCTCCACCTGCTTTTATGGATAGGTCAAAAGTTGTCACACTAATTGTAAGTGGATAATGTTGAGATTTCACAAAGGGGAAATTTTATCAAATAATTCATTAATTTATTTACTAAAAATGATATTACAAATTTTCATTGCTACCCATGGATACGTCAAAAGTTACCACACTAATTGTAAGTGGATAATGTTGGGATTAAACAAAGGGAAAATATGTCAAATTATTCTCTTATTTAATTTTCTAAAAGGTTACTTGATGATTTTTTGGAATAAACGATCAACAGATATCTAATTATTTAAATATTATATCATATCTAGAGTTCTTTAATTACAGCAAATGTATTTAAGGTTATAAACATATCCATGAAATATTATTATATTTCACTTCTTCTTTCACACATTGGCTTGATTCGATGGATTTTAAATATTTTTTTTTAACTGAGGACATTTTTTTAAAGTTTAGATTTAGTAAGAAAATTTCATTTAATTTCCTTGGAAACATGTGATTTACGTTAAATAATGTTAGTTTTCTGAAATTATTATTTATATTTTTGTTATGAGAATTCGCGTTCCGGTGCCGGAGAGGATTTTAAATTGCCCGCCCTTACCCCCAGACCCGGGAAAACCCCGTAGAGCCTAAAAGGCCCAGGTAGTTATGAACTAACTGAAGAACAAGAAAAAAAAAAAAAAAAAGAAGAAATTGCCTTTGCTGAAGAGAAAGTAGTAAATGTTTAAAACTAACTCTACAACGAACGTCCGATTTCCATGTTTTTTTTTTATTTTGTAGGAAATTCAGGAACCTTTAAATAAATATGGGTATTATGAATCAAATATTGTGTACTTTTTTTAGTTATTGGAAAATAAATTTTGAAATCATCGTAACATTTTTTTCAGCTTGTTTTCAAGAAAGTATATTAAACACATAAATTAAAAGGGTTTCAAGGGGAAGACTTTAGCCAAGTTTCGTTAAAATCGTTCCAGCCGTTTTGGTCCTGCAGTTTATAGCGACACGTTTTTCGGACGCCATTTCGAAACGAAAGGCCGGATGGTAATAAAATGTTCACAAAAAAAAACTCATGAATTCGATTCCAACGCTGTTTTTTTTATTTTTATTTTAGTTGTTTGGCAATAATAACTTCCAGTTGTTAACAATTGAGTATATTTTACTATCAACGTTACATGTTAACAGGTTAATTGACGTTGATTCCAACGCTGTGTCAAATTCCAAAGCAATTGGTGGAGTATTTTCGTAGAATAGCGGCTTTGAACAAAAAAAAATTTAAATTTTTAGTTTTTTTACATTTATAAAATTATCGTAAGACAAAAGTACTATGCCAGAACCCTTCGCGGGAGTGTACTCAACAACTTTCCAAAGTTTCATGGCGATCGGATGAATGGTTTAGTAATGTATAAAGGACAAACAGATATACATTCATTTTTACTTTCACTTACCTAAATATGTAATGCATAGTAAGGGAAAGTATTGCGATCGTGAACATTTTCGAATCCGAGTTTTCAACGGAAAGACACGTTTTGAGGTCCCTGAGCCAAAATAACCAAACCACGCAAAATGATCTGTGTGTCTGTGTATGTGAACAACTTAGCTCAAAAACAAAAAGTCGTACGAAACCGAAATTGCGTAGTTAAGATTTGTATATATTTCCGATGCCACAGCGACTTTTCGTTAAAATAGGCTAACCAGAAGTGCCACTTTACATCGTGGATTGAACACATTTTTACGACAAGGAGAAAACATGGAACAGAACGCTGCAAGTGTAATTGTATATGATCTACGATTTTTTTAATTCTACCTTAAATTGCTCTGTTTGTAGGAAAAGATGAGCAATAAAATAACTCAGGAGAATGGGAGGAGGTAGGTTCTTGCGCCATCGACCTTTGGGAGGGTAATGGACACCCCTGTGACTGTTTGTTATATCACTGTTCTAAGTGATCAATTGAATTATTTTTACTTTCACTATGTAATATAGAGTATGTGTAAGTATTGCGATCGTGAAAATTTTTGATTCTTAGTTTTCAACGGAAATACACGTTTTGAGGTCCTCTGAGTCCAAATAACCAAGTCCCGAATAATGGTCTGTGTGTCTGTGTGTATGTGAACATTCTAGCTCGAAACCGAAAAGTCGTACGAAACTGATATTACATATTTAAGATAAATATATGCCTTAGATGTCATGACAACTTTTTCCTTAAAATCGGCTAACCTGAAGTGCCACTTTACATCAACGCTGAAACACATTTTTACAATTTTCTCACAAAGGCTCTAACGATTTTGATTAAATTCGGTGTATCATTGTATAACTAAGTGGTCTTTAATATCATTTAGGTTTTATTCCCGTTGATGTCACTATACAGGGCTTAAATGCCCAATGTTCATATGCGTCTTCCTCTAAAGTATCTTTAATATGGTTCATTTTAAATAATTAAGTATTTCTCACTAGTAAGAGTTACGCAAAAATGCTAAATATAACTTTTGAAAGAATTTGATAACTGAATAAAAGAGAAAAAAATAAAAACGCTTATCCAGGTCGAACATCGCGCGGACTCATTACCGCGTATGGGTAGCGTCCCAGGGGTGGCGGATGTGAGGACGGTCGGTGGATATTCCTTGGAAGTTCCTCCCGGCTAT